ACCTCCATCTCTCACTCAAGCCCACAGTTCTCATCACTGTCTTTGACTTCCAACACTGTGATATTCAACCCATGTTTAAGTCCTGTATATCCTTGCTCTCTGTAACATAATGAGCATCCTCTGTTCATCCACACAACTAAGCTCTTGATCAAGCTCTCACTACTTCACCTTTCATCTACCATTTTAACCTTTCCCCTGGTGACAGCTGATGTACCTGTGTCCTTGTGCCAAGGAAAAGCTGCTGCAAGATCATTTTCCTGGTCTGTGGCTTTGCTTGCTACACAGCTTCCCACTTCCCAAATGCCAAACTGTCACTCTTCACGTTTTGACTCTTTCACAGCTTACCTCTTCTTCCCAACACTGACATTCAGCATTGCTGTAAACTTCCATCTCTCACTGGTCTGACTTGATCATCCCCTTGTTAAACTTTCAAATAAGCACCTCCTTACTACTTGCCACTGTGCCTTTTGCTGCAGAGAATAACCTCCCATTCACGGCCATAAAGCTCCCTGACTTGCCCTCTCAAATGCCTCCTAAAACCTAAACACCTACAAATCCCCCCTTCACCTTATTACCTGCAAAATCAAAGCTGGACAACAAGGAGGCTGCTGTTGTGCTGAGACACAGTTGCTGTTGACAGTGTCCCCCCATTTACCTGAGCCCCTTCCCTGTGATCTCCCCCTTGGGCCATGAGCTGTTCTACATCTGCACCACACGTGGCAGGATGGAACCCAGCCTGGGCTGGAGCAACCACAGCACCTCCTCCTCCCATCCATCCGGGGCTGAACTGCACCTCCTCTTGTGCTGCTGACACTTCAGGCACCTCCTGGGACTCAGCAATGAGCACAGCAAACTCCAGCACGGCAAGGCTGATTCACACTGCCCAAAGCAGGGCCTAACAAACTCACTGGGCTGCTGCAGAAAGTTGCGTGAAAACACTGATTTAGAAACCTGACCTCAAAACTTTTTGTTTCCATCTTGGATGTAACTTCACCTGTCTCTGAGGTTGCTTACTACAGCTAAAACACAAAGCACAAAACCAATACAGGGTAAATGCTGATTCAACTCAGAAATGCAGTTGTACATCTTTTGTACATCTTACTTAGCACCACATTAAGTGAAGAATGCTTGATACCCTGGTTTGGAGAGCTCGCTTACACTGCAGGGCCACGTAATTAAGCTGACAAGCCACAGTTTTGCACACAGCAGAGAGAAATCCAAGACTGAAAGAAGATGAACATGGAATTACTTTTAAAGAAAGAAATAGCCTTTTTTTTTTTTTAATGCAATCTTGAACACTGTTATTAAAAAAATGAGAGCAACGTTTTGGAGTAACGAGCAGAGATTACTCATTCCCTTGTTTTACACAAGTTGACTTTTGGCTTTCTGCAGAACACCATTTAACAGAGCACATTACCAAGCTGCTAGCCACTTTTCACAGTGATGCTAAAGCAGGTAAGAGACAATAAGTGGAACTGTTGATGGTTTATATTACTCTATTATGCTAATGTTCACTAAAGTATGCCATAAGCTCTCTCATTACATGTGTATAAACCAATTCTCTGTGGTGTTATTCCTGTGCTAAATGCTATAACTACATAAATCTTGAATTAATGGAGACTTTATAGTTCCTGAAAATGAAGGGTAATTGCTATCTGTTAATGCTGTTGTTGCTATTAAAGGAAGTATATATTTTCAGTAACAATGTTTATGGACCGTGAGCTTCACATCGCAGCTATTGCACAGAGCAGAGACACTGTAATACGACCATCAGACTGACTCCCTTTCTCTCCCTCTTCCCTCACAAAAAGCACAGTATTGTTTTCACAGCTTCGACAAACCACTCTACAACCCTCCTAACAGCTGCAGAGTCCAACCCAATGTCCTTCACTGAACATGCAGAACCAGGATTTGCATTTCCATCTCTCAGAACGCATGACTTGCTAAGTTTCTCGCTTGGTTAAATGGCTGGACAGCTCACTTTATTAGCCTGGGTATCTCAAACAGTTCTTTGAGAAGTGCGTGGTGACAGAATGATAGGTGTGAGAAAGTATCATCCCACTTACTTCCTTTGAGATTTCAGCAGTGATGCAGAAGTGAAAGGCTATACTTGGCCAGAGACAGTTCTCAGAAAGTAGATGGGATAGACAAGTCTCCAGCCTTGAGCTCCTCTTCTCTGATTATTAAAAACAGCAGTGCACTGGTTGGAAACACTCTCACAATCTGCTGTGGAACTGTACCTTGCACTAAAGTAATGGCTCCTTGGTTCTGAGACACTGTACGTGTGACTGACTATGCTCAATTACTTTCCTCCCCTGGAGTCCTGCACAACACTGCACAAGACAAAAACCCAAACCATCAGGAGTGTGTTTATATTTTACAATGCAGCGAGGGTAAAACCTCAATTTTACTCTAATGTCTGCGTTTGAAAACATTAAGAGCTCAATAGCCCATATACCTACGAACTAAATAAATAGTGGATAATTACTAGCACTGTACAGAGAGAGAAGTAGGAGGTGGAAAATTTCAGTTTTGCTTCTACCTCTGTTGCTGACTCAGTTTGTACTTGTACATGAACTTCTTTCTTTGTCTGCTTTCCTCGTGAGTTACACCCAGACGACAGTGATCCACTGTTTATGACTGACAAAAAATGTTATGCAAATCAGAAGCACATTAGTAATTCCTGCCCTGCCCTTCATTAGTGCCAGTGTGTGTAGGTGTACCTAGGAAAAGCTGCTCCTTGCTGACCAAGCAGGAAAGCAGGACTGTTCTGTAGCACTGGGAAATGCAGCCGACCCATCACGGAATTCGGGAGCCTGATGCTGGGCTGGGCAGGAGGGCGAATTCTCCACCTGGCTGCAATAGCCAGGGAGTGTTAACAGGAGAGACGTTTTGCCAACACATGGAAGGGGGAAAACGAGTGTAATCCCTCAGGATATCCACACCAGTATTTTTATAGCTCCTTGTTGCATCAGGCAGGTTAAGTTTTAGACAGACACTGGATGAGTTTCCAGAGGAGTGTAGTATGCCAGGTACCAACACAGCAAGTCAGGCTGCCCTTCTGTTCCCCAACTGGAAGGCAATGTTGCACTTACATTATTCCTATGAAAGGTTTGAAGCATCTTCACTTCAACCCTGGTGAGTTTACATGCACGTGCCCACGTCTTTGCTGACAGGAAAAGAAACCCCACTTAATTCCAGAGACCTATTTAATAGAACTGTGTCATGTCTCATGTCTCTACAGATCAGGCAAGAGATAGAAAGATGATGATCTTGCGCTGCTCTCCTTATGAAGAAAAGAAATGTTGTTATTAAGGCGGAGTCACCTTAAGGAGAAGGCAGCTGGGAAATACGTGAGCCTAGAAGGTCAAATTGCAGTTACAGATATGCAAAGAAATGCCATATTAATGGGAAGGAACACTATAACAGCCTTTCATTTGCTGTAAAGGACAGTAAGCTACCAGCCAAACACAATGCAGCTTCCTCTGAAGGTAACCTCAGATCCCACATTCTGAAAGCTAATCAATGTTGTTCAGATTTCAATTTCTTCTCTACAAGGTGAAGTCAAACCTAATCTAACAAACGTCAGTCTCAGATGTAATGCCGCTAGCTGGGTCTACCAGTGTAATTTAGATAATCATTAATAGCATAGCTGTATAATAAAACTACATGTCACTTACAACTTCATCTGAGGTTTGACTGGCAGATCTTTAAACAGTTTTCTAAGTGATTGCTTTTACTTTCTTTGATTGGGCAGTCTAGGAAATGTTTTAACCCCGTGGTATCTAAGCTTTTAGGGAATAATTTTTTACCCTCACCACCCCTGCTGTCAGCTCTGCTGCTGTGTAACCTTGTAAGAAACAAAACTCGGGGGGGTGGTTTCAGGGAGTGACTTTTTACATATATACACACATATATATATAAATTAAAACAGAATAATATAAAATAAAATATGTACAGTATCTTTCATTCAACACATATATTTAAATGTTTCTCTTCAATCAAGCCTTCATCTCAAAACACAGCTTTTGCCACATTCCAGGGACATTTAGTATATAATGGGATTTTTAAAAGAAGAAGTTGAAGAAACCTTAATGCTCCTAAACCTCTAACAATACTAACAGAAAGACTTAAGCAGAGGAAGCTTTTAGTGTAGTCTCCTGAACTCGTGGTAACCTCTGATGCAGGGCTGCAGCCGGGGGTGCTGCTGAGGAGACAGGGCTGCTGAAGTCAGCCTTCACTTCTGTAATGCTGATCCAGGAGAAGCCTCCACGCCACAGCTTCTCATGAATGAATGCAAGAAGTTGGACAGCCAAAATACAATAAAGGTTTGATGAAGATCTAACCTGAGACTGCCAAGTTTGATCTGCCACAAGAGAAGCTGGCAAGGAATACTCAAGTCTTTTATACATTTGATGCTCAAAAGCGTGGTGCAACTGGTGCCACGTTGTGGGACTTCTCTGTTTTCCTTGCAAAGGTGAAACAAGAAATCCCCATACACAAACACACGACTACAACCTTTCAGTGACCAACCTCTGTATTCAAAAGAAGGTCAGAAAAACCATTGCTCTGTGATAAATATGCATGCAACATGACAAAACGCTCCTTGACAGTTACCACACTGCCTTGGAGGGCAGGTACCAGTTGTCCCATCTTCTAAACTGGTTACAAAATTGACATCTTCAAAGGTTACTATAAATAAAATATGGGCTCCTGACAAGTTATCAGAGGAAACTTCCTCTGAAACAGCTCTAACACTGTGAGTCAAGACTCACCAAATACTCACATAATAATCAAGAAAGACTATTATGTTGACGGGGGTTTCTTTCCTGCAAACAAAAGCTACATCACAGAGTACCTGGTCCGATGTTTTCTCATTCAATTATGCATATTTTTAGATTTGACATGAAGACTGGAGGAAAAACGTTATTTTCAAATTCATTCTTATTTTGGCTACCAGGGAATTTCCGAGCATGTGAAAGAAGAAAATTCAGTCTTACCTTATCGTCTATATCGCTCTCGCTGTCACACTGTGGATTAGAGAGAGAAAAAAAGATTTTGAGAAACACCTTTATGTACAGGGATCTTTTGCATCATCCTCTTAAATCTTTAGGATAGCTGTTTATGATGTTCACAGTTCAATGAAACACACTTCTGATATGTGCAGTAATGCCTTTTACATTGCTGGCATAAACCAGACAAAGCCAGATTCTCTCTTATACAAATTTATGGTGTACTCTTACATGGATGGGAGAAAGTGAGCTTTAAACAAAAAAGACAATCAGTGCTGCATTATAACAACCACCGTAACATGAATACCACAACAAAAAGCATGCCATTTTATCATCCCAAATTGTGGAATATATAGTAACAGTTTTGCATTGCTTCACCTTGATAAGCACTTTGTCATCTAACAAGGAAACTGTGAAACTGGCAATCAATTTCTAATTTAATGAGTGGTACCAAGAATAGTAATTAAAATACATCATAAATTCTGGTACATTTTTTAGTTTGAATGAGATCACGATCCCAGGAGGAAGTGTTTACTCAGAGACTTTTGGAGTGTAATCTCTTACAGGCTCTGAAAATGAAATGCTCTATTTTCACAGCTCAAATGATGGAGAGATAACTTGAGCACTGAACGTTTCAGGACATGCACATCTCACTGGCTGGAGCTCAGAAAGATTTACAATTGGGAACAAAAATAAATCTCTCGGTGTCTGTTGACAGAAAGGGGCCAGGGTGTTTTGTAGCCTTGGTGCCCAAGAGGAATTGTCTCCTTCAGCTCATGGGGATGGCCCGGGTGGGTGTCCATAACTGGCAGCACCCTACTGAGTTCCCTGGGTCAACATGAGGGAACTCTGCAAGCCAGCAGGGACGAGCTCTGAGTGTGGAAATGGTCCATAAGATGCACATGCTTTGGTATCATGAATGTAAAAGAAGAAATGGATCTGTTGGGTCATTTTGTCCAGACCTTCCTCATGGAGCAGGGAAGGGAAATCTTTCCTGTCACATCCTTTTACCCTAAAGTCACATAGCAGAATTTTTCAGCTGTTACATTGCTAGTTTTCTGCTGATTTTTGAGAGAATATTTAATCTCTTCTTCTTTTATTTGGCACATGAAATGATTGACCCCAAATACTTGAGAAACCTTTTACTCTTAAACTCTCTGAAACACAGTGAGCACATGAAGAGCCTCACTCAATACAGCAGAGGGGTCTCCCACAGTGACTTTGCAGTGAAAACTGCTCAGCTGGCTCCTTATTCCCATTTAATTGCAGTGAAAATGCCTGATTTAACGAACTTGTTTTTCTACAGTCTTGACTAGGTAGATCTCTTTTTCCTTCAAAATGAAACCATATTACACCACCCCACCTGATCCACAGCATGTTTTTCTCAGAGCAATCCAACTGTTTAGTAGGATGTGCACAGATTTAATTGTATGTGTGACCATTCTGGGGAAAAAAAGGACCTAAAGAAAAACGGAAGGAATAACAGGAAGGCAGGACACTGCTCTCCAGGGGCCAGGAGCTGTGGGTGGGCAAATCCTATAGGAATACCCAGTGTTAATGCCAGCAAACTGCATGAAGTCCCAGCCAATTCCTTTGTAGTAGACAAGAACATTAGATAGCCATGTCTTTAGTAGACACCTTCCCACAAGCCGTTTGTGCCTTTTTTGGAGACTTTTATTCTGTGGCTGAACTTTATGAAAATTATTACAAGGAAACGCAGTTTCTGTTTTTCACGACCAAATGTGAAATCAGTCCTGATAAATCACCACTGTGTGCTGACTTCCCCAAACCCGTGTCACGCAACCCCAAACAATGAAAAGTCTCTGCTCTGGGCCTGGAACGGGACTAATTGTCCATCCCACCGAGACATGCTGGAACAGGTTTGCTGGGCAAAGGCTGCCCCAGTACCTGCTGCATTTGTGCTTGCTCAAGACAGCGATAATTCAGGCTGACAAAGCAACACATTCATCACAACCAAGGTGGGGGGTGGGGGAAGATGCAGTCACAGCAGTCCACTTCTTATTTACAGGCTCCTGAGAAGCACTGGTTGACTCGAGGGAGGCCTTTCACCTCCACCCCGAGGGGCTCCAATCAAGCTCTAATGCTACAGGGACTGTGCAGTCCCCCAAACCACCACAGCGGAGTGGGTCACACAGACCTTCTATTTTACCCTTCAAACCTGGCCTGTGAAAAAGTATCCTATGTCACAATTTTAGTCTCATTCAACGTGCACACTCATATTTTAGAGGCAGAGGATTTTGATGACGTGATTCGACTGGCATGGTTCAGACTAAAGCATGTCACAACGGAATTACACCTATCATAAGGGTGGCATAAAAATAAGTTAGTGCACTCAGCCAAGAGTTCCTTAAAATTGTATGCCCAGGCAATATCGATACAAATTTTAATTCTTACAGGGTCTTAAAAAATGATACACTGCTATAAAGTAACCAAATAAATTAAAACTCAGAAATCTGTTGACTAGAAAACATTCAAAATTATCATTAAAACTCAGACACTTTTGCCTATGAATCCTGGTTTAATAAAACCTCAGTATCGTAAACATTAATAAATTTCGCCTAAATATATTTTGACAGCAGATGTAAACAATTTTTTTTGAACTTCAGTAACTGTTACTATTCAAACACAAGTTAGTGTTTTAGCCCTCCTCTCTGTTTTTTTAACAAAACTTGTCTTCCTATTTCTTACTGCATTATGATATTTAAAAAAAGAAAGAGGTCAGGCTTTTTATTGTTGAAAACAGATATGACCTCCAAAATTTAAATGCCTATAATGAGTATAAAACCCTATTACAGATGGTTTGCATTACTAAAAGGTGCAGAATTGCTTTATTTAGATGCCTAATTTTGCTTTGTACCAATATGCAACTTTGTCTCATGTAGATAAGTGAAAGTTGCAAAAAGCCAGTGAACCATCAAATCCACAGCTAAATTTTATAAACAGACACGCGAATGAAGCAAACATCTGCTCTCTGAGGATACATTTTCCCCCATTCAGGATCTGTAAAGACTTCATAATTAATTGCTTTTAAAATGGAAGAGACGGCAAAGAATTTTGTTTCATTTTAGCTTACATCTTCTTTACTTTAATCATGATTGCATCAGTCTTGCAACTGCAGAAGCCAGCGGGGCTGTGGATGCGGATCCACACGTGGACACAGAGCCCTCCACGCAGCTGGGACTGCAAGATGGGTGCTTCAAACACTGCATTTGTGACAGAGAGTTGCCTGACTTCGTGTTTGCCTTATGAAAGCAATTCCTCTCCCACCTCTCCAGCCGTGTAGGGTCACCCACACACACACACTGACCCTATATTGATTCCTACCGTGCGGCCTTAAACCACCAAAACACCACATCTCAACCCACGTCAGAATGAAATCCCAAACTGACCCCAAGCTGCTAAGCAGTCTGTGTGATGGGAGATCATGGGGGAAGAATTAACCCACCGATATTTATAAAATCTGGACTTCGGCTTAACATACACGAAAATGGAAAGCTCAAGATTCATGGCTACCAACCCACCTACTCCTGAAGGAAATACAGCCAAGCTTCGGTGGAAAAGGCCCCACGTTTCGGAATTCCCGTAGGTTTTCTTCTTTTCACGTTAAAGAAACAGCCTCCCACATTCTCATCGAGAAACAGGAACCCACAGGCTGCTGAACAAGCAACAGCACCGAAAAACTGACGACAGCAAAACCAAACCTGCCCTGACAGACCTGTGAAAAGCAGAACCACCGCTGACCCCTTCCCTTCCCTTCGCTGGGGGTGTGTGCGAGCCAAACCCCACGGCTGCAGTGGGCTGGGTGGGCTCTGTGGTCACGGCCTTCAGCCTCCTCCTCCTCCTCGCCTCCATCGCCCGCCCCGGCACAGCCCCGGCCCAGCGCAGAGACACTGAGGAGGCTGTGTGGCATCACAGGGATGCTGAAATGAATAATGAAGTCACAGGAGAAACTTCAGTTTGTCCACAGAGGATTTAATATGTCTTAAGAGCCAACGTGCGAGGAGGAGGAGGAGGAGGAGGAGGCCAAGGCGCTCCCTGCGAAGGCCGAGGCCACCACCCGGCAGGGCCTCACCTCCCACGCAGCTGTTGTTGAGGGACAAAAGCCCTCGTCAAAACAAAAAAAAAAGTTAAAGAAATTGTGGAGAATGGCAACTGTTGAAAGCAACGGGGGCTCATTGAAAGACAAAAGCTTCAATTACCTGGATTTTTCTAAAGGCCTGTTAACACTCCTGGTCTATAAGCGGGACTGTAAACACGCATTGTGCTGGGTTCATAAAGGCTCCTAAAGGGATTATTCACTGGGTTGTGCCAATTGCCTCTCAATTCCACCAAGAATGTTTGCAAAGCCGACCCCTAATTGTGCTCCTTTTTGGAAACAATTTCTTGCAGTGACAGATTCCAGTCAGAAGAAAGCCTCCCACGAGGTTGGTTCGGCAGAGACAACACATAACTCAGGTAGAACTGGCTCCATGTACTGCAAAAAGGCCTCTTTCCTCTGTCCTCCTCCTTGCTTTGCCCTGTATAGGAGGATGACACAACTCCTGCAGGGTGACCCAGCGCCACAAAGCCTCTGCTGAACTTCCATGGGTTCACCAGGGCAGGACACAATCTGGGGGCTGGTGCTGATGGACCGTGCTCCAGGCTGAGGGTTCAGGCTCTGGATGGCACAGGGAGCAGAGCAGTAAGAAAATCTGGTGCTTTCCTAATCTTCACCTCAGCAACTGCAGCACCTCCACCATCTCCTCCATTCCACCTGCTCCCTTACTGCACTCTAAAGACCGGAGGAATCACAGGCAGAGCTCCCACATGTGTAGACCACGCCCTGTGGCTTCTGATTCTTTTTGATGCTGAGGTGGAATCTCACTTTTCAAGACCCCCCCCCCTCCATCATGGCTTTCCCACCAGGCAAGGAGTTCTGATTCATTCCATCACCTTCTTGTACAAACCACCTCAACAGGGGCAAAGATGGATTTATGGCTACTGCTAAACAGGCCACA